GCCCAGCCTGGGCTTTGCCCAATTGCTGAATAAGCCTGTGGCCTTGCTCAGGCAGAAAGGCCAGCCAATGGCCCAGCCAAATTGCAGGGCACAGCCTGTGGTCCCACTTAACCAGGGAGGCTGAAAAGCAACCCAGCCTGACCACAGAGCCCAGCTCCCAGCACCATCCAACTGTGCAGTACAGCTGGAGGCCCTGCCAGACAAGAAAGCCCAGCCAAGGATCTTACCCAACAAAAAAGCACAGCTGACAGCCTACCCAATTACAAAGCTTAGCCTGTGCACACTCCCAACTTCAGAGCACAGTCTGAGGCCCTGTCCAACCAGAAGGGATTGTAGAGCCTAACCCCAATAGCCCTGCCCAATCATGCAGTCCAGCCAGTGACATCATGCTCAACCCTAACCAATCAGAGGTAATTGCATAGCCCAGCTAATGACCCCACTTGGCCACAGAGCACGCCTAGCAGCTCCACTTGACCAGACAGCCTACCAAGCAACCCTACTGTACACAGAACCCAGCCAGCAGGCCCACCCAACCACAGAGTCTAGGCAGAAGCACTCTTCCAACCTCAGAGCACAGGCAGTGCCTCACCCAACTAGAGACCCCAACAGCAAGTCATATTTGCCCATGGATGCTACTAGCTGACCCATCCAGTACCCCAAGTTGAGCTGACTGATGGTCTATCCTTACTGAAGCAAACCTTTAAAGTCTGTAAGAGGAAACCATTCACTCAAATGCAAAGATACATTGCAAGAATCAAGGGACATGAAGAATCGGGTAAACATGACACCACCAAAGGAAACTAGTAAAACTCCAACCATCGACTCTAAAGAAATGGAGATCTCTGAACTGTCTGACAAATAATTTAGAATAATCCTTTTAAAGTAGTTCAGTGAACTATATGAACATACAGATGACTAAACAAAAGTAGGAAAACAGTACATGAACAAAATGAGAAGTTCAGCAAGACATGGAAACCATCACAAACAAAATCTTAGAGTTGAAGGATACAATGACTGAACTGAAGAACTCAATAAAGAGTTTCAATAGCAGACTTGACAAAACAGAAGAATCAGTGAACTCAGACAGATGATTTGAAATTATCCAGTTAGAAGAGCTAAAAGAAAATAAAGAATGAGAAAGAGTGAAAAAAAGCCTATGGGACTTATGGGAAACCATCAAGAAAAATAATATATACTTTATAGGAATCCTGGTGGGAGAAGAGAGAAAGGGACAGAACATTTTTTTAAAGAAATACTAGGTGGAAATGTCTCAAATTTTGGGAGAGAAATAGATATCCAAATTCATGAGGCCTAAAAGACCAAAATGGGTTGAACCTCAAAAAAGCTATACCAAGACACATTATAATTAAATTTTCAAAAGTCAACGACAGAATTTTTAAAAAAGCAGGAGAAAAGTGACTCATCACATAAAAGGGAGCTCCAAAAACATTATTAGTGGATTTCTTAGCAGCAATTTTGCAGGCCAGAGGCATGTTGGATGATACATTTAAATTTTAAATAAAAAAATTCCTGTCAATCAGGGATACCACACTTGACAAAGCTGTCCTTCATAAGTGAAAGAGAGGTACACTTTACTAAACAAACAAAACCTGAGGGAGTTCATCACCAATAGACCTGCCTTTAAAGAAATACTATAGGTCACTCTTCCAGCTGAAATGAAGATACTAACATTGTAAAAACATATCAACATGTAAAACTCACCAGTAAAGGTAAATATGTAGTCAAAGTAAGATTCTCTGATATTGTAGTGGTGGTATATAAATCACTTATAAGAGGTTTAAAAGTTAACAAACAAACATATTAAAAACAGCTATAAGAATTATGTGTTTTTGGATAAACAGTACTTTAAAAATGTAAGTTGGGGCATCAATAGCTTAAAAAATGAAGGGGAGAAATAAAAGTATAAAGTTTCTGTATAATATTAAAATTGAGTTATTATCAGCTAAAAATAGAATGTTATAAAATACTTTATGTAAGCTTCATGGTAACCACAAGGTAAAAACCTATAGTAGATAACATAAAATAAACCTACTGTCACAGGAAATCATCAAGTCACAAAGGTAGAAAAAAGAGAAAGCTAGGAATAAAGGATTTCTAAAACAGAAAATAATTAACAAAATGGCAATAGTAAGTCTTACCCTATCAATAATTACTTTAAATATAAATTGAATAAATTATCCAATCAAAAGACACAGAAGAGTTGAATGGATTAAAAAAATCCAGCAATATGCTGCCTACTACCCAAGGCCAGCCACAGATAGAATATAATCTCTATTAAAATTACAATGGCTCTTTTTACAGAAATAGACAAAAAACAATCTTAAAATGCATGTGGAACTACGAAAGACTCCAAATAGCCAAAGCAATCTCGAGAATGAAGAACAAAGCTGTAGGCATCATACTTCTTGATGTAAAATGATATTACAAAGCTATAGTAATTAAAACAGCATGGTAGTGGCATTAAAAGCCCACATATAGACCAATGGAACAGACTAGAGAGCCCAGAAATAAACCCACTCACATGTGGTCAACTAATCTTTGACAAGGGAGGGCCGTAAGAATACACAATAGGGAAAGAATACAACTCCATTAGATAACTCATTCTACAGCACTCTTTATCACAGAAATGTTCCTGAATATCTTAAATAATGTACATGAGTGTGTTTGTTCTCCTTTCATTTTTAACATTCTCAAATCCTAAGATACACTAATTATATTGAGGTTAAAATAGAATCTCTCTTAAAGAAGAAAAAAAGATGAAATGGGAAGGAAACATATATTTGTGGCAGGTCTATATCTTTTAGACACTCTTTTTGGCATCGTGGATTTCCTTTACAGATTTTAAGAGTGAGGCTCAGAGAGATTAAGTATACGTTCCAGGGTCACACAACTGCTAAGAGAGAGAGCTGCTATCATAATCCCCATGTGCTTGACTCGAACACCTGTATCTGGAACCAGGCACTTAGCTTCATCTTTAGATGGACAATGTAAAGCAATGGGAACTCCCATACACAACTGGTTGGATTTTGATGTACATTGACTTCACAGAGTAATTTGGTCATGTCCAATAAATTATACCCATCTGAGAACACCTCAAAAAAATCCACAAATATACATGCAGAATGCTTGGCAGATGTGCACAAGAAGACCTACACACAAAATGCCTTTGGACTACTCTTTGTAATAGCATAGATTTGAAAACAATCCAAATGTCCAGGAAAAGATTATTCTAGATAAATACAGTCACACAGTAGATTACAATGTACCAGTGAAAGTGAATGAACTAGAGGTACAGCGATTAGAATGTAAATGCATCTCAAAAACAAAATGTGTGGAGAGAACTGCAAGTTAAACAATGACACCTAGGTAAACCTATGCAGATATACTGGTAAAGTTCATTTCTTAATCTGGCTAGGGGGAATGCAGTTCATTTTTGTATGTTTGGAATATCTAATTACAATAAAAGTTTTTAGGGGTTATATTTCTGATCATAAATATAATCCACACTAATGTTTATAAATGTTTAAAACAGACTAAAGTACTCAGATGAAGATATAAATCAACAATCTATCATCATTGAAAAATAATTGCAGATATTTTGCTTATGTAGTGTACATCTTTTTTCTCTTTTGCAATATAAATCACAAGGTATGGGGAAAGGATATAACTCTACTTTTTAGAGAACAGTTTGCACTTCATCCAGCCCCATCTTTTGACTTTATATCAGATGGGAAACACTGCACATATATGTACAGTACAGTAAATCCACCCATATTATGCTCCCTATTCATGGTTGGGAAGTCTAATAATAACAATACTGATTTAAAAAGTGAGTATTTACCAATCACTTATGTAGTATCAGGTACTGTACTGAGTGTTTTCCAAATATTATCTCACCCAATTTTCACTACAGGAATATGATGTAAGTACCATTCTCATCCCACTTCAGAAATGCTGATATGGAGGCTTGGGACAAAAGAGGTCTTGCTAAATATCATGCAACCATCAACTAATGGTGCCTAGGTTCAAACTCCAGTTTCTCAGACTCCAAAGCCAACACTCCTACCCCAGGATTATATTGACTGTGACTCTGTGAATGCATGTTCATGATCAGGTTCCTATTTCATACAGTTGAAATCAGTGATTTTCAGCAAAAGGGAGCTTTCTTCAGGATGGACTTCAAAGAGCCATTGTAAACCATCTCTCTCCTGCCATAATGAAATTCTCACCTACTAAGTTACCCACCCTACAATGAGAGACCAGTGAGATACCTATTTTTTGGGTATATATGTCAGATTCCTTAGAGTTGTTTCCCAAAAGCTTTCAGTGCAGATATACCCCAATTCATTACCCACAATGGGGAGCAAGGTATGTTTGGACTCCCCTCAGGGATCTGGCTCTGGATTTACAGGAGTGAACAGTTGAGGACCCATGAAGATACTGCCCTTTGACTCTGGAGAAGATGGTATTCAGCAGCCATGGGTCAAAGGTGCTCAAACCCCACTTTCTTGCAGGCCCGTGCATGAGGATGTGGTTGCCCACCCAGAGACTAAGTCCAGTAGTCACCTCCATTTATTCATGACCACACACTGAGAGGCTGGTATGTGCCAGGTAGGAAGACAGTGCTGGTGATAGACCTGAGGCTCAGCCAGTTCCTACTACTGTGTTTCAACATTTAAAGGGCCATTGAAATACCACTAAATGCTGTATACTCTGGGCTGGTTTTCTCATTTACCCCTGAGGACAGCTCTGTGACCAAGGTATAAGGTATCAGGAGTCTCACTTCACAGAGGACCAAACTGTGGCTCACAGAGCCTGAGTCACCTCTCTAGATAAGTGGCAGGATGGGCATGAGGTTCCATCCCTCACCCTCCCCAGAGGACACAAAGTAGCCTCTCTATTAGAAGATGGTGGTTTTCCAGTGCTGGAAAAATGGTGGGATCACACTCCCCCACAACTGTGGCCCCATAGGTACTCACTCAATAATCCCTCTAGGTAATGAAGGTGACAAAGTCTCACCCCTTGTCCCAAGAGGCCTGGGTGTCTCACCACATCAGTTGGCTGATCCTTGAAAGGTGGGTGGGGCTAAGGCAGAAGCTCAGTTGTTGCCCTTGGGACAGGTGATCTGGAGGAAAAGAAGGTGATATGCATGGAGATACTTTAAACAAATGTACTTTAGATTTCATTTGTTCAGTCCTAGCAGTATTCAAGCTATCCATTATTATATCCATTATTATGGGTGTGTATACATATACATATCCATTATTATACCCACTATACTGACCAGTCTGATGACTTTAGGAGAGTTTAAGCAAATAAAAGAAACAATTTTGCAAAAATACATCAAAAAGACCATTCATCATGATCAAGTAGAATTTATTCCAGGGATGCAAGGATGGTACAAAATTCAAAAATCCATCAACATCATCCACCACATCAACAAAAAGAAGGACAAAAAACACAGGATCATCTCCGTAGATGCTGAAAAAGCATTTGACAAGATTCAACATCCATTCATGATAAAAACTCTCAACAAAATGGATATAGAGGGCAAGGTCCTCAACATAGTAAAGACCACATATGACAAATCCACAGTCAACATTATGCTTAATAGCAAGAAGCTGAAAGCTATACCTTTAAGATTGGGAACAAGATAAGGGAACTTCTATTCAACATAGTACTGGAAGTCCTCGACATGGCAATCAGACAACACAAAGAAATAAATGGCATCCAGATTGGAAAGGAAGAAGTTAAACTGTCCCTGTTTGCAGATGACATGATATTGTACATAAAAAACCTTAAAGACTCCACTCCAAAACTACTGTATCTAATATCTGAATTCAGCAAAGTTGCAGGATACAAAATTAATACACAGAAATCTGTGGCATTCCTATACACTAACAATGAACTAGCAGAGAGGGAAATCAGGAAAACAGTTCCATTCAGAATTGCATCAAAAAGAATAAAATACCTAGGAATAAACCTAACCAATGAAGTGAAAGACCTATACTCTGAAAACTACAAGACACCCATGAGAGAAATTAAAGATACCAATAAATGGAAACACACCCCATGCTCATAGGTAAGAAAAATTAATATTGTCAAAATGGCCATCCTGCCTAAAGCAATCTATAGGTTCAATGCAATTCCTATCAAAATACCAACAGCATTCTTCAATGAACTGGAACGAATAGTTCTAAAATTCATATGGAACCACAAAAGACCCCGAATAGACAAAGTAATCCTGAGAAGGAAGAATAAAGCAGGGGGGATCTTGCTTCCCAACTTCAAGCCCTACTACAAAGCCACAGTAATCAAGACAAATTGGTACTGGCACAAGAACAGAGCCACAGACCAGTGGAACAGAATAGAGACTCCAGACATTAACCCAAACATATATGGTCAATTAATATGTGATAAAGGAGCCATGGACATACAATGTGGAAATGACAGCATCTTCAACAGCTGGTGTTGGCAAAACTGGACAGCTACATGCAAGGATTATTGTTTAATCCCATACACAAAAGTAAACTCAAAATGGATCAAAGTCTTGAATGTAAGTCATGAAACCATAAAACTCTTAGAAGACAACATAGGCAAACATCTCCTGAATATAAGCATGAGCAACTTCTTCCTGAATGCATCTCCTCGAGAAAGGGAAACAAAAGCAAAAATAAACTCATGGGACTACACCAAACTAAAAAGTTTCTGTACGGCAAAGAACAACATCAACAGAACAAGAAGACATCCTACAGTATGGGAGAATATATTTGTAAATGACATATCTGACAAGGGGTTAACATGGAAAATATATAAAGAACTCACACGCCTCAACACCCAAAAAGCAAATAACCTGATTAACAAATGGGCAGAGAATATGAAGAGACGGTTCTCCAAAGAAGAAATTCAGATGGCCAATAGACACATGAAAAGATGCTCCACATCACTAATCATCAGGGAAATGCAAATTAAAACCACAATGAGATATCATCTCACACCAGTAAGGATGGCCAGCATTGAAAAAACTAAGAACAACAAATGTTGGCAAGGATGCAGAGAAACGGGAACCCTCCTATACTGCTGGTGGGAATGTAAGGTAGTTCAACCATCGTGGAAAGCATTATGGAGGTTCCTCAAAAAACTAAAAATAGAAATAGCATTTGACCCGGGAATCCCACTCCTTGGAATTTACTCAAAGCATACAACTTCTCAAATTAAAAAAGACATATGCACCCCTATGTTTAATGCAGCACCTTTTACAATAGCCCAGATATGGAAGCAACCTAAGTGTCCGTAAGTAGATGAATGGATAAAGAAGATGTGGTACATATACACAATGGAATACTATTCAGCCATAACAAACAAATCCTACCATTTGCAACAACATGGATGGAGTTGGAGGACATTATGCTCTGTGAAATAAGCCAGGCAGAGAAAGACAAATGCTAAATGATTTCACTCATTTGTGGAGTATAACAATTAAGCAAAACTGAAGGAACAAAATGGCAGCACACTCAGAGACTTCAAGAAGGAACTAGTGGTTACCAAAGGAGAGGGGTTTGGGAGGCTGGGTGGGGAGGGAGGAATTGCATGCTGAATCTAGTAAGATGAAATTTAATAGTATAAATATTAAACACTGCATGGAAAATAACACAAAAATATTAAAACTTGGCTATGGAAGATAACACAAAAACATTTCTGAAAACCTGGTTTAAGATAGTACATGCTAAAACAATGTTGGAGTTTTATTAAATTCTTGGTTTAAAAGACTAGTGTGCTCATCCAGACATACAATCACATAAGATCTAAGGCAAATTACCAAAGTCAGTATTCAGACAAGTAAATTAATAGCACCTAGCTTTATATGTATATCCTCAGCTGAATAGAAGACAGAGGGAGGCACATTATGGCTGAATTTGGAAAATAATTTTCAATAATTGGAACCATAGAAAAAATTAAATTGACAGCCTTGTTACATGCATACATTGAATGAATGGTGAGAGGTGACTGTCAGCATTGAGCCAGGAAGGAACCTGATAAAAAAATGAATGACATAGGTTCTGTTCAATAAACAGCTCACAGTCTAACAGGGAAAACAGACCAATAAAAAGAAAATTGTAACAAGTTTGATAAAGGCTACAAAAGGAGTGATGAAGGATGCAGTGTGTAGCAAAGGTAACAAGCTTAATGGGATGAAAAGTGCATTCAAGAAAGGCTTCCCACAACCTAAGTGTCCACCTGTAGATGAATGGATAAAGAAGATGTGGTACATATATGCAATGGAGTACTATTCAGCCATAAGAAAGAAACAAATCCTACCATTTGCAACAACATGGATGGAGCTGGAGGACATTATGCTCAGTGAAATAAGCCAGATAGAGAAAGACAAATGCCAAATGATTTCCCTCATTTATGGAGTATATAACAATGAAGCAAAACTGAAGGAACAAAATGGCAGCAGACTCAAAGACTCCAAGAATGAACTGGTGGTTACCAAAGGGGAGAGGTGTGGGAGGGTGGGTGGGGAGGGAGGGAGAAGGGGACTGAGGGGTATTATGTTTAGTACACATGGTGTGGGGGATCACAGGGAGAACAGTGTAGTACAGAGAAGGCACATAGTGAATCTGCAGCATCTTGCTGCACTGATGGACAGTGACTACATTGGGGTATGGGTGGGGACTTCATAATATAAGTAAATTTGGTAACCACATTGTTTTTCCATGAGAAACCTTCATAAGAGTGTATATCAATCATGGGAAGATGGCGGCATGAGTAGTTCAGAGGAAATCTCCTCCCCAAAACATATATATTTATTAAAATACAATAAATACAACTACTCCTAAAAGAGACACCAATGGATGCAGTACAACAGCCAGGATACTTCTACATCTGTGAGAACTCAACATCACATGAAGGGGGTAAGATACAAGCCGCGGCCAGGAGGGACCAAAACGCTCCCCCACCCCAGAACCCAGCAGGAAGAAAGGAGTCAGAACAGGGAGGGAGTGAAAGCCCAGGACTGCTAAACAACCAGCTCTAGAAATCCACACCTGGAGCGCAGACACAAGGTGCATGGGGTGCTGGATATTAGAGAAACGGAAAAGCAAAACCTGTGGGCAGGTCCCCGCAACTGGCACCCCCAAGACAAAAGAAAAGCAAGTGCTTTCTGCAAGTCTTAAAGAGACAGGGACCCCATAGCTGCACAAAGTCATCCTGGCACACTTAGCCAGCAGCAGGGAATCCTGGGGAAACTTAGGTGCCCTAAACCCCGGGAAGGCAGCACAGCTCTGAAGCTCCTCATGGTGCAAAGCAGCCTGCCAGTCATTCCTCCAACTGGCACAGACCCTGACACACCGGCCAAGTAGTGGAAGAGTGGTAGCACGTGCTGGGGGTAGCTGCACCAGAAGGGACCTGGAGCAGATTGCATGCACCAATGGTGCCAGAGGAGACCAGGAAAGCCTTGTGCAAGCCCAAAGTGGCGGTGACCAAACAGCCCAGGTATGGTTCGCATGCACCGGCGGCAGTGGAGCCAGAGGAGCCCAGTAGAGGCCCACACAAGACAGCCCTGCACACAACTGAAGCGGAGCCAGAGGGAGCAGACGTGCTCCCAGCATCTGCTTGGAATCCCAGTCCAATACACAGCCACCAGGGTCAGACCCAAAGGCCGCCGCTGACACACAGCTGCCCAGCAGAAGTGCCGCTATCATGAAGGAGGGCACCTGGCATGCCTGCCCCTCCCCGCAGGGCTCCATGCTGCTCTGATGGAGACGCTGCACACAGCAGCTTAGGGGACTAACCCGGTGGCTGCTCCAGGAGTGCGGGTAACCGACACAGGCAGCAGAAAAGGGCAAGGCACCCAGCAAGCAGGAAAGGACTTTCTTCTCCCAGCTGACATACCCGCAACCTGCTTACAACCATGGCTATCACCATGAAAAGGCAAAAAAATTTAGTCCAGTCCAAGATAGGCCAGACAACACCTGAGAGAGGATCTGCAGAGACAGACCTAACCAGTCTCCCTGAAAAAGAATTCAAAATAAAAATCATAAACATGCTGACAGAGCTGAAGAGAAATATGGAAGAGCTAAGAGATGAAGTCTGGAGGGAGATTACAGACATCCAGAGGGA